ACTAGGTACGAAACGCTTCCTCATTAGTCGTCTTAGCTCTGTCCAAGTTTGTATGGTAGGTTCACGACTCCTCCTTCGACTAGTGGAGAGTTGATCCCACCACACAACGGCGTAGTCGGTGAATTCGACCACGGCCAACTTGACCTTTTGCTCTTCCGAGTAAACAAGTTCAATCCGCTTCTCCCACTCTAAGTAGGCATCAGGGTCTGATCGTCCTTGGAAAGGCGGAATTTTCATCTTTATGCCCGGAATGTGGTCATTTGAAGGCCTAGCATCACGCTTGGACCTACTTTGCTTATGCTCATAGTTGTTGTCTGAGTTAGAGTCGCTAGACTCATGTGCATAAGCCTTTCCACGGCTGCCTTTGTAGCTTCCATGAGACAACTCTAAGCTGTCAATGCGTTGGTGCATCAGTTCAAGTTTTTGGTCCATCATGCGTCCCAATTCGCCTTTGATTGCTTCTGTGAAAAGTTTAAGATCAAAAGCTTGGGAGCTTGCTCCCCCCTCGTTAGCCATGGTAGGGTAAAAAAAAATAATAATGGAAAGAAGCAAAGTTTATCTCCCACACTTCCTCACGTGTTTACTCTCGCTCTCGTGTTTGAACACTCTAAGAACTCACCAAGGTATTTTCAAGGCTCCTCGGTCAACTTCTCGAAGAAGTTAGAACTCCTTCTAGTGTGGATCGACTTACCAACCAGGGTCACAAGATTGTAGCACTTTGAACGAAAAAAGAACAAAAGATGAAGGGACTGACCACGACTCAATGAATGACTCAAAGTTGAATTTTAAGGATCCTAGACAAAAACTCTACCCAAAACTGGAATTTTGAGCTGCTGGTTGCTGCATTTCTGGGCAGTGTTTTGGTAGATAAATGGACACTTAGAGGATTCAGAATGACACTTAAAACTAACCTAATGATGCACGAAAATTTCCAGAATTAATGATTGGACAGAAATTCCCCAATGGTTGCAAAGATGGAATCCGAATGGAAGATGAATTTGGGTTGTGGTAGGACTGTTTTGGAAACCCAAGGCTGACTTTTCTTCTTTAATCCTTTGGAAACAAGGATTAGTCTTCCTATTTGCTGGTTCCCATAAATTCTAAGGTCAAGTTCAAGATTGGAACTGATTTGGTTGTTTTTGGGAACAAGGGTGGAAAATTTGACTTGAACAGGTTGGGAAATTTGACTTGAATAGGCCCTAGGTCTAGGTTTTTGCATTCATATAGTCATGTCCAACGTGCGAACATATATTGGGTAGAAAATTAGGAAAGGTAAGGTTAAGTCGCGCAACTAGCCTTGGCTAGGTCAAAGGGGTGCCTTGGATTCTATCCTTGCCTTCCCCTTTGTCAAACGTGACCCCCGAACCTTTTTCTTTGGCTTACGTGGACTAGGAGTCGTTTTTAAAAGGGTTTTACTATTTTGTCTTTAAAAATTTATTTTTAGGTGACTTGGTACACCTTAATCATTACCAAGTGGCGACTCCAATTTCTCATTCAAAACCCTTTTAAAAACTATTTTTTGGGTCGAATCGTCGCTTTTTCAAGTCCCATATTAGACCCATATCTTTTTCAATCAAAATTCAATCAAAAACATCTTTCTCAAACCATTTATTTTTTCACATTCAAAAAGTGGGGCGCGACAGCTATTGTATTATTCTTTATTTTTTAGTACAAAAACACAAATTTTCATCAATATAGGTGGCAAAATTTGTTAATTACATATAAGTGAAAATATACTTTTATAATTTGCAAATATTTTAGCCCTGCAATTTTTTATAATTGCAGCACTAAAGTACATCATTAATTGAAAATAATGAAAGTCAAATTCTATGGTTATAACAGACTTTCATTAAAAATAATCAAATGCTATTAATAAGACATTATTGTTAAGTCAAAATCAAAGAAAATTTAGTGATGACATAATGTTATCACTAATTTATTCATGATTATAATGACAAAAAAAGTCGTCACTAATTAAATTGCTAGTTTTTAATATTGTCAATTGCTAGTTTTTAATACTTTTGTGAAAATATTGATAATGGTTGAGAAAATTTTGTTACATTACTGCAAGTGATAAATGTACTTTTGTTCTTTTTCAAACATTTATTTTAATGTTTAATTTTGTTTAAAACTATTGTACTAGTATAGATTTGCAAGACAAAACTTAAGTTCTTAATAGTTAAAAAATTCATTACAGAGAAAACACAAATTAGTAGTTGCAAAATGTGTATAAATTACAGATATTTTAATGTGTATAAACTACAGTTTATTTTAATGTTTGATTTTGTTTGAAACTATTTTACTAGTATAGATTTGCAAGACATAGATTTATGGGTAATTTCTTTTTTTTTTTTGCTTTCACATATTTAATTTATGTTAAATACAAAACCTACCAGTTTCTCTTTCATAAAAATATTAGTACAACACTTTTTGAATTTTACTTACAAACAGTTATGTATTTAACATAAATTAAATGATTCAGAGTGAAATGCCCATAAAGAGCAGAATAATTGTTCATGTAATGGAGGAAACCCACAAAGAGTTGGTACTTTATGGGCCATTTCTTTTTTCAAATTTTTTTTTAAAAAAAATTTAATTTATGTTGAAAAGATAACCTGCCAGTTTTCGTTTTGTAAGAAATCAGTGTAACACTTTTTAAATTTTACTTACAAATATTTATAAATTTATCATAAATTATATGTTTGAGAGTAAAATGCCTATAAAAAGTTGGTACTTTGAATAGATAATGCTCATTTGCCCATAAACTACACTCCCTGAAGGCTATTTTGTTAATTACTTTGTAGTACTTTGTTATTCCTTTGCTAATACTACATGGCATGTAGTACAAAGGATAAATCTGGCATAAATTTCTTATTCCATTGATAAAAAGACCTACCTGCCTTATAACTATTGTAATGAAAGATATATTTTTAGAGTTTATAATAAATTATTACTTAAGTTTGAGAAAATTATAAAATATTTATGCATAGTTTATCAAGATACCATTCGCAATTTCCTAATAAAAAAATAGGGGCTAAATTGTAAAAGCTAGGGTGCCATAATAGAAATAATAAAATTGGTGTATTACATATGGGGGTTAAATTGCAAAAGTTAGAGTGCCATAGTAGAATTAATGAAATTGGTGAATTACATATGGGACTAAATTACAAAAGTTAGGGAGTAATAATAGAATTAAAGAAATCGGTGTACTACATATGGGGCTAAATTGTAAAAGTTAAGGTATCATAATGGAATTAATGAAATTTTTTACAACATTTGGGACTAAATCGCAAAAGTTAGGGTGGCACAGTAGAATTAATGAAAGTGACTTAGAAATAAGTACTTTAAACAGTGACGATTAATTCTTGTCACTAAATCCGAATCGGTAGAGTGACAGTGACGATATTAGAAGTTGTCACTATATAGATCATTTTAGTGACAACGTTTTTCAAGGTCGTCACTGAAGACTTAGTTGCTTTGAGCAATTATGACAACTTTCCTTGTCGTCACTAAACAACCACATTTTGTGACGACTTTTGTCGTCACTAAAAAATGTTGTCACTAATTACCATATTTCTTGCAGTGTAGTTTGTGACGAAAATAACGGGTCGTCACTAAACATTTAGTTGCTTTGATGCAATTGTGACAACTTTAGGTGTCGCGACTAAAGAATCTCCTTTTGTGACGACTTATTGTGATCACTACAAAATATTGTCACTAATAACTTTTTTTTAGTGATCAGTGACGACAACAAAAAGTCGTCCGTAAATAGGCCAAGCAATAGTGATGATGTTCTTAATGTCGTCACTATTGTGTGTTATAAACACTCCCGCGCTCTTGCTAAATCTTGGCGGGAATTTACTCTAAGTCGTCACAAATGAGTTGGCTCCTATTAGAGGTTTGTGACGAGTTAGAAAGTCGTCAATAAAGGATCCACTTTTGTAACAACTTTTTTTCGTCACAGAGAAAAGTTGTCACTGATGACCAATTTTCTTATAGTGTAAGACTAGTAGAGTCAAATCCGGAATTTACTGACATTGACTATTAATTCATACAAAAGAGGGCAAAAAGTAAACACCGTTGCATTAATTCATATGCTACGGATATGCTGAAAATAGAATTACTAAGTGACCAATCAATGTGAAGGGAAGGAAAAAAGGATAGGATAAGACTGGAAGAGTCAAACCCAGAATTTACTGACATTGACTATTAATTCATACAAAAGAGGGCAAAAAGTAAACATGCTCTTGTTGAGAGTCGAACTCAAGACCTCCCGCTTACTAAACGGGTGCTCTAACCAACTGAGCTACAAGAGCAGAACGAGTCGTCAATCATTAAGTATTATAAAGATCAAATAAAGCCCCCTCCCCTTTTTTATGTCAAGGTTTATTTCACACACAATTTTTGTTTTTGGCTAATTTATATCGGTAGCGTAACGGTTCAACCGCACAATTTGAGGCATATATACTTATACACAATGATTTTGTACATTTTGCGTTCCAATATAAATCAATACCAATAATGTACCAACTATTTTAAATTAATTCGGTGTCATAATCATTGAGGATCCAAATCTAGCACTACTAAAGATCATATTTTCTTATTTTAAAACTTGCCAGAAATTTTAAGTCATTTGTTGTTTTGGCTTCCACTTTGTTTTCAATATGGCAATCCTGAATACATTCTGTCAGCACTCCGAGCACATTTTTTTAACGCTAAAATGAACGTTTAGAGACAAAAATATTTCACCCAACATGTCACCTACGGCAGCCTGCAATTGTCCGTTCTGAACAAGGCAGGGGCAGTTTAATGGGAACTAGTGGGCAGCTTATCAGTTCTTAGGTGCATGGGCAGTTTAATGGGAACAAGTGGGCCTGTGGGCGGCTTATCAGTTCTTAGGTGGATGGGCAGAGGGATATCGCAATGGTGGGTTAATACCCTTATCCCTCAAGTAGTCGCTAAAATTAACCAATGAAAGGCCCTTTTCTGATCAAGAAAAGTACCTGAAGAAAGATCAAGGATACATATCTCTTATACCTAACCGGGACTTCTAAAAATTAAACCCTTCATGAGGTAACATTAATAGCACAGCTATAGATGGAGCCTAAGCAAATTCTTTGGGAAGAAAGGTCAAGGCAAACAAGCCTTGAATATATTCCGTTTCATTTCACAGCAAAAGCATGTAAAACAGAAAGTCCATCTTCATCTCCCTGCCAACACACTTCATGGAGTTAATTGCCAACCTAGCATTATAATTTTACATCCATCTCTCTCTCTCTCTCTCTCTCTCTCTCTCTCTCTCTCGCTCTTCGCATATTGAAGGGTGGACATTTTCTCTATCCGCGACAAATATGCAATCAGCTTGTTTTCTCCAGGGATACAGAGACAGATTATCAGTCCATTGTCAGTGGAATTGGTGTTTGCAATAAAAACCTCGAGAATCATCCATATAGAGCATGCCAAGGCTCCTTGCTGGCCTTAGAAGACTTTGGTGGATTCCACACAACCCTCTCCCTTAAAAAGCAAAGAGATGAGTACTCTGCAAGAAGCTCACCTATCCCATAAATTACCTGCGATGAAAGATAGAAATGAAATTTAAAACACCGAAAGCATATTGAAGCTAAACAGACCAAAAAACTACATATACTTGTAGAGGGGAAATGCTCTCTCTCTCTCTCTCTCTCTCTCTCTCTCTCTCTCTGAGGCAGGGGTGGTGCGGATGTAGAGGCCCTATTCAACAGTGAAAGTAACACGCGTGAGTGTGTTTGGATTGTAAGTTATTTGAAATATTTTTACTGTAGCACTTTTTGTGATGTGATGTATGTGAGATAAAAAGGTAATTGGAAAGATAAAAAGGTGTATTGGAAATTGTAATGGTGATGTAAGCAAATATATTTGGGCAAATAACTTACAATCCAAACACACGAATTCTTCACATTCAGAAGGCACAATGCTCTAAGATTGCCCTTACTACCCAGGCAAAAAATCTACCTACCATCTCATATATGTGAGCTAAACATCTAAAGCAATAAATTACGTGCTAGGAGATAATGTATGGCATCATCCATCTTAGACAGCTTAATCTTTAGCAGCAAGAGCTGGTTCAGGCCTTTTGACATTAATATTCGCAGCTGTTAAAGCTTACTGAGTGGCTATACTTGACCCAATCAGCTCGGCCAGCTGCAATTAAGTTAAAATTACATGAAACCATTAACAAATGGCAAACTATCATCTCATATTAGTGAGCTAAATATCTGACGGGTTAAATTAAGCACTAAAGATAATGTATGGCATCATCTATCTTAGCCAGCTTAATCTTTAGCAGCAAGAGCTGGTTCATGCCATTTACTTTAATATTTGCAGCTGTTAGAACTTACTGAGTAGCCATACTTGAGCCAATCAGCTCGGCCAGCTGCAATTAACTTAATATGGCTTGAAACCATTGTCTAACAAATGCCAACTACACAATGGTATGTGGATCAACAGGGTATCCATCTTTGTTAACTTAAGTTCAGCAAGTCATATATGTCAGGTTAGCAGGACATAAAAAACATGTTTTATGCAGGAAAAAAAGGCTGTTAGAAATCTCAAACGAATTTCTATAGTACATGTAGGTGAAGAACATCTGATCACTAAGCCATACATACCAAAAAACTTTTAATATGCATACACGAGGCAGTTCTTCTAGACTATAATTCTCACGTTTCATAAATAGCCTTGGGCTAGGCGAAAGGCCACAAGCTAGGGTAAAGAACTTAACATTTGAACCATTAAAACATTCATCAACTTCAGAAGGTTGCCATATTAGAAAATACCACAGAAAGCAAATAAACATTTAATATCCATTATAAGTCAATGCCCATATACTTGAGCAGGTTACCACAGAAAAAACAGAGAAAGTGAATGAAAAGCTAAGTTCAAGAATATGTATGCTTAATTGCTGCAAGCTGTACTTGATTGAAGAAAATGTACCTCAGGATACTGTTCCAAATTATTACTGTAACTATGCCGAGTATGTTGTCCAACAAGAACAAGCGCCGGGATATCTAAGACACGGACAAGGTGAAGCAAGCAGGCCAACTGCTCATGATATATCCGCAATGATTGTGGAGCCTTTTGAATTTTGGAGGCCAAAGCATGTGTTAAATTGTGCAGTTGGCCAAATTCCAATCTGTAAAGAGAAACTTCATAACTTGAGATAGCATTCTTATTCTCCAGTTTAAGCTTTGATGCCTCCACAAGAAACGGAACTACGAGATTGGGGATGTCTGATGAGGTCCCTCCCAGAAATGATACCAGAACTTCATTCAAAGCACAAGCTAAAAGTGGAGGCTCGGTATGTTCCAGAAGTAAGACAGACACCTAAAGAACATAAAACATACCATTAGACCTAAGTACAAGAAACAACAGGGAATGCAACTTGAATAGGTCAACTCAATAAGTGTTGCATATTTCAGGTAAAGTTTTTAAAGACACAATCACAAATATGCAAAACTAGAACAAAGAGAATATTGAAAAAATATATTCAACCATGTTATCTAAACCACTTTCAGCAGTAAAACACTAGTGATACATTAAGCTGTGGCAAAACTTGGAAGCAACTGAAAACCAAGGAAGTCATCAAAGACGTTAAGCCTTATGAAAAAGAAGGGTAATGCTAGCTCCCTATTTCAAACAAAATGTCTGCATAGGAATGTGTATCTAATGTAGTTCACCTAAATTTGATGCATATATTGAGACTAAGCAATACTCTTCCATTAAACAATATCACATAAGGCACCTTCTTCTCCTTCATCCCAGCCCATTTTCTAGAAGTCCAACTGGCTGCCAATCCGCAGCTGCCACTACACTGAGCAACCTCCTCTGTTTTACTTGGACCCTTCTCCTTCCTAGTCTTACAATTTCAGATAGCATGGGATCTGTGACCAACACTTCTTAGAAGTTTTGGACACCTCGAAGTTAATGAAATCAGAAGAAAAACAGAGGGAGAAAGTATGCAATGCTTATATTGGAACCAATATTGGTGCATCCAATAGATTTTGGTTCTAACTGTGACGTATACTCCCTATCCTTCCTTCTCTTATATCTTTTTTCCCGGTACAATATTAAGAAAATATTCACACACAACACACACACAGATACACATACAGGAGGCACCCCCACACCCACACCCCATAGCATTGGCATGGTGTCCCAGTTTAGAAAACTAACGAATATGACACCTAAACACATGTATCCGCTACCACACTTGGGTCCAAGTAATATAGGTTGCCTCCTACCATCCATCTTTTTTTCTACCCTATAAGAGAAAGTGCAATGCAACCAAGGACATCCCAGATTCCAACCTCCACAAACTAGCTGCTACTTCTTTCTCCTCTCACTACCGACATCCCAACCCAACTTTTCTTTGTAAATGTTGAAACCACCTTATCTCCTTCCTCCGTCCTCTCCAGCATGACAACTCTTCCTTTCCAGCCTGCCTGCCCTCCTTGAAACCTAGAACCTCAAATCACCATTCTCCCATCCAGCCATCATGAAAATCCCATCTCTCACTTCTTTTGTCCCGCCTTGAGGGAAAGAGAACAGACCTGAAACCTGTATGAAGCTGCTGGCATCGCTAGCCTTCCCTCAAAGTTTTGAAGTTTGTATCACGCCTTCAAATTTGTCCTTTCCAAATCAGATTAGAAGAGAGTCCAGCAAAAACCACGCAAATGCACAGATACAGTGACAGAAATCAAAACATGCTCACCACGCCAACAGAAATTCCTAGAGGTAAACACAAGAGGTGGAGATACATTTGCTTCCTTCAAGTATGGCTCAGGTTCCTATTCTGGACTAACAGCTCTTTGACTTCTTTGCTGGAAATGAGTTAGTTGTGTTACATCATAAGTTTCCATTATGAGATGTGTAATACATGAATGGGCAGCAGTGAAATGCATCTACTACAGGCAATTATGATAGTGTTCTCAAATTGCACATGTACAGTAAAAGGATCTTATTAACACCGGCTTTCTGCAAGTAGAGAATTAATGAACAAAGAGAATTGAGAACTACAGAGGCTGAAACTGGAAAGGGCCCTGGAAAAACTCAACAACAGCACAATTTCAAAGTGCGCATATTTGATTAAAATTCATTAACCATCTCTTATTTGCTGTTTTCTTTTTCTTTTAAGCAGTGAATTTCTGCCAATGGAACAATAAATTAGCTTAGGACCACCTTAAAATTAGCCTAGAAAAACTTCAACAAATCCACAAATCCCTCAAAACAATACAACTACACACATATTAAGCTAATAGAAAATGCATTACATTTAATTTTGAAGGGAAAAATGCACTTTTCATCCTCAAAGTTTGGGCTGTTGATCAATTTCATCCTCAAAGTTTTACCTAAAACACATTTCATCCTCAAAGTTACGTAATTTTGGCCAATTAAGGACAATTGACGGGAAATGAAGAAATTGGCGTTAGACCCAACTGTAAACCCAATAAAAAATGAGTTAAACCGAATGGAGCCATTTTTTAACCAAACAAAAATTGTTGCAACGGACAAAAACCAACATTCTTCTCCTTCTTCCCTCTGCCTTTCTGCAACCCCAAAATTTTTTTGCCAATCTTTGGATTTGCATCTGTCCCTACAGCTTCGACACATGACCAGTAACATAGCTACAGCGTGCTCTTTGCATAGTGGTGTACCTTCTTTGATGGCCTCCACTAGAAAGTGGATTACAAGAGATGCAGTCTCAGCAACCTCCTTCTCTGCAATCTCTGACGAGGAAACCATCTTCTCCAGTAATGCCCTCGCCTTCTCAATCATCTCTGATTGTTTTCCGAACTCATACATTAGTTGAAGTATGGCTTTTACCATACCAGAAGAAACAATAGATGGGATTATCTGAGGATAGGTGGAGAGATTGTGAAATGTGGATATGATATCGAGCTTAGCCTGCATGCTTAGATTCTGGAAACCACGTTCTTCTGCCAATTGGGAATTCAGGGATCCAACCAAGTTCAGGATAGCGCCAGATGCTGCGATTGCTAGCTTGTTAGCGGAGCAAGAAGAAAGAACCAAGAGGGCTGCTGCTGCAAGGTCAATCAATGACTCTTTTTGGCATTGAATGATCTCCAGCAATACTGGTATGGCACCAGAATTTGCAATTTGGATCTTGTTTCTGCAAAATTAGATGGGGAACAATTCTACAGCCAATGCCTTCGGATGCAAATTCAAAAGCTGCAAATTTTAACTGATGCAAACAATACCTTTCACTGTGAAAAGCTAGACAAAGCAGAGCAGAGTGTCGCTTCAGTGGCTTCATAATCTGGGGTACGAAGCATCGTAACCAGCCGAGAAATGATCCCTCTTTCTGCTAACTTCTGTCTTAGTTTGGTTGCAAGTTTACCAAGTTCTCTGGCAGCTAAAATCTGAGCTTCCCGTTCATTAGATAGAAGGGCTTCCACTATCACGTCTTCCATGGTTCGAAGCCCTCTATCCCCCTCAGTCATTTCTTAACTCTCTTTATGTGAAATTGAAAATTAAGAAATGTAGTATTTGATTGCTTCAAGGTGGTGTAAGGTTTGGCTTTTGGGAAAAAAATTTTGGAGTTGCAGAAAGGCAGAGGGAAGAATGTTGGTTTTCATCCGTTGCAACAATTTTTGTTCCGTTAAAAAATGGCTCCATTCGATTTAACCCATTTTTTGTTGGGTTTACAGTTGGGTCTAACGCCAATTTCTCCATTTCCCATCAATTGTCCTTAATTGGCCAAAATTACGTAACTTCGAAGATGAAATGTGTTTTGGGTGAAACTTTGAGGATAAAATTGATCAACAGCCCAAACTTTGAGGATGAAAAGTCCCATGCCGCACACTGATTAATTCAGCATTCAATCCATGCAGTGATAAAACAACAAAAAAAAAGAGGAAAATTTGTGGCTGCAATATTTTTTAAATTTCCCACAAATAATAAATCAAAAAACAAACTAAAATAGGAAAAAAAAAAAGAAGGAAACACTCTAATACAGAATAATACCTCAGATACTCCATTACTATTGAGAAAGTGAATCATATTTCCAGAAGCTTTATGATCTTTGATTCCATACTTTTCCAGCGACAGCTCAAATGACTCTTCCCTATCACAAGAAATATCATCCCAAAATTAAAAAAAATGTGGATTAAAAAAAACACACACACACACACACACACTCTCTCTCTCTCTCTCTCTCTCTCGTACAAAGATTAAGTTATTTGATGTTTAACTTACAATCTTCGGAGATTAGAGTTAGGGTTTGGTTGGAGAGCATTTGAGATTGAAGAAGCGAAGCCGCCGTCGTCGGCGCCGTCCTTAAGTAGCAAGATCACCCTCGTCGCAGCCTTCATTTTTTCCGATGTTTTATATTCTTTTCTTTAGTAGGAGAACGTAAATGAAGGATCTGGGAGAGGAGCAAATTTAGGCATTCATCCAAGTTTCCAGGGTTTCAATTCAAAACCCAGCCGGTTTAGTGTTGGTTACCCGAAAACTTGGTCGGGTCAAAAATGACCAGTCCAATGGTAATTAACCAGTCGGGCAACGATTGATGCTATAATTACGAATTACTAGTGATTAAGGCATGTTTTGCAACCAAAAGAACGTATATTTGTAAGAATTATTTTGATGAAAGAAATTGAAGGAAAATTTGAAAGGAAACAAGAAATAAGGATTTATGAAAGCAAAGTAAGAAGAAAAAAAAAGAAACCAAGAATATAGAGTGAACTATTTCATGGAAAACTGAAGTATGAAATTGTGAGAGATTTGGTAGTTTTTATGTGGCTGTTTAGATAATTATATTGAATTTTCGAATTTATTTTTGGTCTGATTAGGACCATTTTACACTCACAACTATGGAAGAGAGTTTTAAAAAGTGACTACTGTATGATAGCACTACACACTAAATTTCGCACATCTTTTATTATATAGATATATGTTAAATAAGTAAACTATTCCAAAAATAACAATGAAAATAAAATAAAATAAAAAAGAAGTCGATAAAATTGAATATGGGAACAATTTTAAGAAGGATATAGACCATATTTATTCAAACATCTTGTTTTGTAAAAAGATATTTCAAATATTTGCATAGAACCATATTCAAACATTCAAATCGTTCATAGGTCATAAAAATAGAGACAAATGAGAAAAGGAGCATAATGCATGACAGGAACATATCACAAAAGTGTTCGAGGTGTTAAACATTAAAATAGGAGTAAGAAAAAATTTTTATTAAAGTTGGCATGATGGAAAGAAGAGGTTAGTCCGGCTTTCAGCGCGGAACGAAGGTCCTTGCTTGCTGGCTAGCGCTATTGCCAGGTTGAACAAGAAACTTACCAAATTAAAATTAACCAAGATAACTTAAAACACCCAAGAGAATAAACTCAAAGTAAAGCTCAATTGAAATTCAAATAGACAGAATTATGTAATTAACCTCGCAACAAGTAAAATTAAAGAAGTAACGGAAACTAGAAGGGATGTAAAGTAAATTTGAAATCTTTCTCCACTCCCTAACTTCTTCAAGATTGAATTTTTCTTTCTCTATGTGAAAGACTTAGGTTAATCAATCCTTAATTTTGACGATTAACGTAATAAAATGATGATTTAGACCAATATTTCAAATAAATTCTTCATTAGCATAGGTGCTCAAACAATTGACAAAGGAAATGAAGCAAAACAAGAAGAAACAAAGTTTTCACTAAGCATCAGATACACTTTTTGATGCATATCAAATAGATCAGATGTCCAAAGCAATTCAAGGCAAGTATGTCGCTAAGTATTGAACGTGGTTTCAGATATTGGCTAAGAGGATCGGGCGTCTGAAGGATAAAGTGAAAATTGACTCTGATGATTGGACACATAGGTGGACTATCGAATGTTGGAAACTTTTATGGTAGGAAGCCTTTCACCATTCCTACCGTAGGCAGCCACTCAGAGCATGACACGTGTTGGAGTTGAATGGAATGTAAATGGAGACGTTAAATTACGAAAGAGCACGTGAAGAACAAACATTAAATTTTAGTCTGTGGCTACAAGCAAAAAAGCACACGTTCGACTTCCATTTTCCAATGTAGTAGGTTGGACTAGAAAAGGATAATTGCAGGTCAGAACCACCGGCAATTATGCATTTGCAAATGCACCCGTTAGCAACGGAAAAATACTGCAAATGCCTTCGACAAAAAAATATGCGTAAAAAAGGTACTAAAGTTTTAACAATTAATAAATGTAAATGTTACACGTGTCAGGGATAATAGCTTAAAAGAAGGAAAAGTTGAGCAAAGGTAAACATAGTAATTCCACGACAACGCGAAACACAAAGAGATTGAAGCCTTCATTATATTTATATACATATATAAATTTAGTACTCAAGTGTTCAACTTAAGCATCCGGGAAAATGGTGTCATAACTATCGTTACGGTAAACAAAACAGTTTTAGACATGATATAATAGGTTCTAAAAATTTTAGCGACCATTTGATTACCCGTTAGACCTTTCCACTTAAATAGAATTATGGGTAAAAATAAGGAAGTAAATTTCTCATCTAAAATAGTAAATTAACGTAATAAGTTAGTAACTTTTGCAGTCCAAAAGGTAAATTGTAAGTAATATGAAACATACTTTTTAAAGAGATAAATTACAATAGTATATCCCAAATATACTTTTGAGGGAATAAGTTTATTTGAAGTAAAAGTATGTTTTTATACATAAATAGTGATTTTTACTTATAACATAGTAAATTTGATTAATGACAAAAATATGCTAATTTATGGCCAAAATATTGTATAATGCTTAAAAAACTTATATGAAGCCCATGTTTTAGTGTTATTTGAAATAGCACTAAAATGTATTGTTAATGATTAAAACTGAGTACGTTACTTAGTAACTACTGTTAATATACTTGTATACATATTTGATCGTATGTGAATAAACAAGTATTTTTGAAATTTATAGGGAAATTAATTTTTTCTTTTGCAGTTTAAAAAAAAAGTAAGTGAAAATCTTTTTTCTCGCAGCACAAAAAATCACAAGTCAAAGTAGTTGGTCTAAAAGGGAAAAAACATTCTGAATATCATTGTTTACAGTACTAAGTAAATTAGATGTAAAATGCTCGTTAAAACAGGTGCATTGACATATAATAAAGGAAAGCCATAAAGAGCAGGCCATTTACGGAAAAAGTTATCATTCATAAAAATAGCAACGCTTCACGGTTATCTTTATCAGTCTTGCAACGTATGAGCAAAGTGGCAATAATTAAAATAGCATTTTTTTCGATTTATACATATTTCATTAGTTCTTTTTGTATTTAAAAAAAATGAATGAAAATGTTTTATGAGAAAGCACATAAGTCAAAAGGAATGGTCTAAAAGGGAAAAGAATAGCAGATACGTACAATACTTGTAGTTCATGTTCGAAGGACTATAGGGCTGTTTTTTAAAAATATCCCGAAAAATATGTAATCCAAACGGAACCGATTCTTCACTATTTAAAATGTCAAATCTGTGATTGTGTTTTAACTGTTATCCATTGGTATCCTAAAGTATCATTTTCTCATCAAATGCCACCTCTTTAAAGATGTTTTCCCATAAACAAATTTATTTAGCGGATAAAATAAATAAAAATTCGTTTTTCAATAAAACACTAGTTATTTATGGCTTTCTTCTATTATAAGAACAGAGTACCCATTTTCTCATAAACAAATTTATTTATCGGCTGAAATAAAAATAAATTCATTTTTCAATAAAACACTAACTTTTTATGGATTTCCTCTATTATAAAAATAGAGTACCCATTTTAGCCCCAGTGTAGAAAAAAAATCTTGGCTTTGTCACTAACTGAAATGCTTGTAATTGAGATTTATCCATGGTGAATGTATGATACATAATTTTTTCACTGTACTCAATTTATATGATGACAAATTAAATGGGTCGATTGGATTAGTGAGCATCAGTTTTGTGAATGATTATGAGAGTAAACTATATTATGACAATAAAATACGTTGAATTATGAAAATTATAATTTAAACATGCTCCTAAATTTTGAATATGTGATTTTCGTAGTTGCGAATTTCTTAAATTAACAGTTAGTTATTACTATGAGTAATGTGGTAAGCGTGAGATATGAATGTCAGTAATAACTAACAGTTATTACTATCAGTAAAGTCAGCAGTAAATGTGAGACATTAATTGGAATTTGTAGATATCATTTTACATGGGTGGTTATTATCTGTTAGTTAAAATTTAGGAGTTTTAATTTTATGGGTTAGTGGGGAAAACGTGAAGGAAATGTGAGAAAAACATGAGCATGAGTATTGGATTTGTACGAACAGTTATAGGATTAGTTGTGACATAAACATTTCTTAATTTTAGAAATGTAAAATTGTAATAAAATAGTATCCAGACTTTTGACAATTTGGAAGGCTCCTTATCCAAAATTCCCTCTGCAATACATATAGATAGATATAGATGTCTTTTTTTTAGTGGTTCAATCTCATATTCGTGAACTATTTGTACAAAAAAATAAAATTCTAGACTATACTAATTTTGTTATACCAACACTATTATTATTATTATTGTATTAATTGTTATGCTATTTCTCTCATTTTGTTAGGTCTACATTAATATAAGTTTAATTCTTATTATGTCTCGTGTCCCAGAAAATACAAATTATCTTATTTAGGTGGATACATCCAACAGATAATCAAATTGATGCTAAAAATTTAGAATGAATAAGTTGCTTTTGCATAACGGTTGTAAAGATTTCTTGAGACTTTATAAATTAGGTGTATTGCATTTGAAAAAAGAATTTCTAGCATATTTTTGTAATGGAAATGGACTTAAAACTTGCTATAGGTTATTTTCATGTATTTCAATTTTATCGTAAAGGGTGATTTGCTGTTCAACCTAATTTTATTTTAATTTTATCCAACTAATAAATTAACTTATAAAAATAGATAATTTATGGAGGAAAGCCATAAGTAGCTGGTGTTTTATTGAAAAATGAATTTATTTTTATTTTATCCAATAAATAAATTTGTTTATGAAAAATGGGTACTCTGTTCTTATAATGGAGAAAAGTCATAAAGAGTTAGTATTTTATTGAAAAACGGGTTTATTTTATTTTGTACGACAAATAAATTTTTTAATGGAAAAATGGGTACTTTGTTGTTATAATAGAGAAAAGTCATAAAGAACTAGTGTTTTATCGAAAAACGGGTTTATTTTTATTTTATCTGATAAATAAATTCTTTTATGAAAAAATAGGTACTCTATTCTTATAATGGAAGAAAGTCATAAAGAGTTAGTGTTTTATGAGAAAATGAATTTATTTTTATTTTATCCGATAAATAAATTGGTTTATGGAAATACGGGTACTGTGTTCTTATAATGGAGAAAAGCCATAAAGAACTAATGTGTTTATTGAAAAACGGGTTTATTTTTATTTTATCCGAGAAATAAATCCTTTTATGAAAAAATGGGTACTCTGTTCTTATAATGGAGGAAAGTCATAAAGAGTTAATGTTTT